TTTTTAATTCGAATTTAATGTCGCATTGACTGTAAGATTATTAGCGACAATTTGAGATAAATCGTATATATGTGGAAAGTAATATATAATTTTGTTTTCTTTTATAAATACGAATACGTAAATCACGACTTTAATATTGGAATTCTTTTATTGACGTAAAAAATTTGCTCGTCATCGAGGTGTTCTCGCACAATAGAAATAAAAGGTTCGAGTAATCGTGTATCGAGTACAAAAAGATGTTCCTTATTGATAGAAAAAACAGCCTTGGTAATATCTAGACGGCAGGAGGGATCGATCAACTATTCACGCGGACTTGAAATATTGTTCGTGTTCTCCTTCTTTTCGGCGCGAGGTAACGTACGATATACAAGAGAACTCGTATTCTTGAACAACAGTATCTCTTGAAAAAGACAAAGTGTATAGGCAGGTACTGTATTATGTTTCAAAGATTGACTCGATCGATGTCCGTCTTGGACGATCGACGCGTATTTTTCTTTTTCCATATCCTCCTCTCTTCTCCGTTCTCCCTCGCTGCTGAATTGCAGCGGGACGCGAAAGTTGAATCCTCGAGAGAATACAATGGTCGTACCATTTTGAAAAATCGAGGACGTCCGTAAAATTGGATTTGCGATAAAGAATCCAATACAAACGACGTTGTATCGCTAGATTAACTGTGTTATCGCAACAATAAGATAAGAAAATGAAACTAGGACTGTTAATTTTTTCATTGAATTTGAATAAAAAAACTAATTTAACAGTAACAGAAATGTCTCAAGAATATTATTATACTGCATTTCTTATGGCTAGACTCCGGATTTCATACATTTAAAAAATGTTTATAAATGCATACGATGCATAAAACTATGTAAAGTAATAAATATGAGTACGTATTGCAATCTGGAATGCATCTTTTTAATTGACTACCATATACGTTTTATTTTGCATAAAAATCCGCAGTCTGTTTACGGCATTTCGATTATTATCTATCCAACGAAAGCTGACGTAATTAGCAATGAAACAGTCGACAGGGACAATAAACGTGTTGCGAATACGAAATACACAGCAAATGAGACGGTATTGAATATACGTATTCGACCTATTCTCAATCTAGAATACTTTCATGTGTTTCATGAGTTTTCGATTTCCTCGGAAATCCATATAAATTACAATTCGTTAACTATAGATTTATGTAGCTATGCACTTGATCGATCGCTTTTCTTGTACCGTTCTCGAGGAATGAGAACACGTTTAGCCGGCACTTCCTCTGGGAATACTTACTATTCTTTTTTCCAGCATAGAAGCTGACCTAACAATTGTTCCTCCGAAACTCGGAAATGGAAAGCGTCACCGGAAGTCGTCGGTACTTCAATATTTGGCTCCGTCCTGTTCTACATGAAAAGTTAATATGAATAGAATCATTATTTCGTAATCAATAATAGTTGCGCCGATTATGGTTCTTATTATTATATTTGTATGTTTCTTAGATACCAGATGAGTGCTTATTTAATACTTATTTCCTTTAACCGTACGCATGGAATAATAAAGTGTAAATCGAACGATAGGCCTGCTTATCGTTGTTTAAAAGTGTAGAGTTTTGTATTACATTGGAAAAGTAAGTTGTATAAAGAATACTTTCTACGCAGTCTATGGAAAACCGGAGAAGATTATTGCTCGGTGTCGTACCTATCGAACAGAGTCTCATTCCTCGAGCTAAAAAATTCGCGAGTCGATCTAGCGGAGGAAAAACTGGTCATTTACAATATTTAGTACCGAGATTCCGAGATAGCATGCCGATTATTTATACAACTTCATTACAACATAGCTAACGTTTACGCTAACGTCCATCCACTATATGTATGTAATTTCCCCAGAGGAAAATGTAAAAATAAATGTGACTAAAACTGATCGCTCGGATCTCGTTATTTCTCGTTTCAAGTAAATTGGTCCAGATTAATCCAACTGATGTCGCGTTAACTGTAAGAATCTGGGGAGATTAAATAATGTACAATCGTATGTACGAGTAAACACAGTTGAAGTGCTGCGTTCGATAAAGACGAATCAATGTTTCGGTATAATCTCAACAGCGAGATTGTCAATTACATATTTGTTGTACAAGTCGGCTGAGCGTTTGCCAATCGAGGTGAAAATGCAACGAGTAGAATAGCACAATTCGAAAGTTGAAATCCTTCCCCAATCTCGTTAATTGCCTACCCGTTAATACAATTGTTATTAACGACAATATTTCTGACGAACCATAAAATTCGCTGACATCCATTCGTCCTCCATTAAAGTCGCTCCACGATTTTAAAACTTTCCTAATATCCTTCAGACCGCCCGAAGCTCTCAAATTTGAACAAAAATTTCACATCGTGCGTACAAAAAAGCCTTTGAATATCCGGTGGAACCCCTGCGTCGTGGCGTAGCGTAGCGTCAGAGATCCAGGGTCAATAAATGCGTTCTGTGCTGATTCATATAGTTTTGTGCGCAATCACGTAAATCGCTGGTCTCCGGACGCGGGAACCGGAAGACCGTCTGCTCGCTTCCGCTGGCTTATAGCAGCACGCAAGCGGTACCTTGCATTACCTCCGAAATGAACACCGGCGTTCCAGCGCCTAGTCCACCATCACTCTCGTTCTTATCGTACTCGCAGTCGAAATAGCAGCTCTGCGTAAAGAATTCAACGAATATTAAATATGTCACTATTAAGCTTTTATGCTTCTACAAAAGAGTTGAATGTGAGATGACGATTGTATTTTGTAAGAAAATCCACAGTCTATTTAATTATTATGTTGTTGCATTTAATGAACTACCGAATTTAAAATTCTTCTATCTAATCAGTGGATAGATTGACTTGATTTCCTATCTCGTGTTTAAATCTACTTTTTACATTTCAATTTA